ATAGATTTTTTGTGGTCATAACTTGCAGCTTATAAACAAACACTTTCAATGGTAATCAATAATTTACACCTAGAAACCCAAGAAAGGAGGCTTTAATCATGTACAATGACTGCAATAAGATGCTCGTATCCCCTGTAGATGAAATTGCGACCACTCTGAAGCAGGCCATCTACCGTACAAGCACAGTAATCCAGGAAAATGGCATTATTTTGACGTGAATGAATATGAGTTTCATTTTCAGCGGGCTAAATAATCCCACCCCTCTGCCAATTTGGAGGTTTTGATCCCCTCCGTATGTCTATCTTAAGCTCCAAAAGATGGTGCAACTCTGTCGGAAAAGTGTGACGGCATCAGCGGGTCGCTTGAATCCCTACCATCGTGCCGTATTCCAGGTAAATCTAAAAAAACTGGGGTTATCGTTACGGAAGCGGTGGATAGCGCGCTCTATTCGAAATCCGCACTTGTAGTGCCGTCCCGTTACCGGATATCGTTACTGACCACATCTCAAGGCCGTGTAGAGCAATTGTGATATGCGGAGAAAACAAGTGCATTGCTTTCTTCCTTGGAGATGAGAAACTCTTAATTGTTTTGTAAACGAGTTTATACTTCTCGAATGTTTGATCGCACATGATTTAATCGTATGCGAACAGTTCGTGATAATGAAATACTCAGATGAAACGCAATAGTGCGATCACGACCGAAATCTCTGACTTCATTGTAAATGCTGTTCTAAAGCACAAAAGCGTGTTACTCGAATCATCATCTATCCGTATGATGCACTCAAATAAGGCCAGGAAAGATGCGTGGCAAAGGATATCTGAGGAGATTTTTAAAAAATATCGTCTACATTTGAATCCGACCCAACTGAAAAATCATTTCAATAATCGCAGGAGAAAGACAATGTCATCAGATAGCTTGGAGAGGAGGTATCGTCCTCTGTTAATTTTGCGTGATTTTCGTAGTTTTTATAGATACAGGCTAAAGACCGGCGGGGGCAACTCGCCTGACCATGAACATCAAATGATGAATGGTCAAGGGAGTGATCAAGATGTGGAATTATATAATTATTTTGCTTCCAAAACGGCCCATAAAGGCCTGAAGAACAGTGATACTATTCAGTTAGCAGGGGTATGTGCAAACTTTATGACGTTGATGTTGCATGTTGAATTTACTGTAGGAGGGGACTGCTTCCGAAAATGGGGAGGATGATCCACTGGAAACAGAGGAGATGGATGTGCAGGTGATTGTTGGTTAAAATGCAGCGTTCAGACAATTTTAACCTACGGAGAACTCACTTAAATAATTTGGAGACTTCAATTAAGACACTCCATGCGTTAGCGTAGATGGTGCACTTGGGGCTGAGAACTACGCCCTTAAACTAACCTTGGGATTGCATATCACATATCTTGCATCGTGTTTGCATGCCCATGCGCGAGCATCCCGTGAAACTCATTGGTACTGGTATGAAATCCTGCGGACATGAGTCAAGTTGACAGTTTATCTGATCTAGAGTCCACTTTCGTGGCGAAGTTCTCAGCGATGCACGATCTAAGGTGCCGCATGAGCAGTGTCTTAGTTAGAGCCCAAAATTCCTTTGCACTTGATATCCGGGCAATGTCCCGATTTATTTGGACGTTGCTTTAGACAAACACATGTTCTCAAAATAAAATTATGATTTCAAATCCAAAACATTCAGGCGCCAGAGGAAGATTTCCAACATCAGTCTTCTTCTGAAGAAGACGACGAAGAACCGAATCCTCGCAATGTATCCTATGCGCAATTAAGGCGATTTGAGGCAAAGCGTATCCAGGTGACTTCAGTACAAGTTAAGTTAGACGCGCTATAAATGGTTAGTGTTTAGGAGCAGACGCGATGTTTCGATGCATGGTCGAGGTTAGCTAATGTTCAGATCCAGGGGATGCAACAACTTTTAGAGTTGATGAAAGTTATGATGAACTCGCTGGTTAGCTCAGGCAAGGTGGGGTCGCTACGCATTGAAGTTTTGCGACAGGGGAAGCGACGTCACCTAGCGGCAAGAGCCGCTTGCTAGTGTGCATCCCTCGCCGCAAAAGCTAAGGCACTGGCCATACTTCGCCCAAAAGCGCTCAAAAG